ACCTTGCCAGGCTCATTTAATGGCTCTTCTACCTCTGCAAGACCTCTGAGGGGGAGCTCAGAGTTGTCTTCTGCCCTTTCTGATCCGCATTTACACTTCTGACCTGACCTTAATTAGTCCCACTATGTAGAGTGTCATCTATATGCTGACGACTTTCAAATCCATTTCTCTCTCCCTGACCTGAACCTTGTATATCCAACTGCCCACTGAACATCATCACTTGAATGTTTAATAAGCATCCCCAGTTAACACAGACAAACTGATGATTACATTAATTTCCCTAAGTCACCTCTCCCCCAAGACTTGCCTCCTTCAGGAATTTGGTACAACTTTATACCCAGTTGCTAAGGTCAAAGAACTAGAAGTCACCTTTGATTTCTCACTTTCCCTTATGTTCCACATCTGATCTATCAGTAATTCTGATTGGTTTTGCTTCTACAACATATTCGTACTTGATCATTTTATACCAGTAAAGCACAGTAGAACCATGCAATTGAGGCTCAAATTTTGACTCTCTCATTTGTTGTCTACCTGACCTTGGACAAGATATCCAGCTCTTGTTTCATGTGAAATCTAAAACAAACTCTTACCTGGTCTCCTCAGCTGTATCCTAGTAGCCCCCAAAGCAGAAGAAATTGTCTTTTAAAAAGTCATATCACATTACATTTCAGGTTAAAAACCACTAATGGTTTCCCTTTAAATTTATAATTATAGTAGAACCTCCATAAGTTGACCACCCAAGGGACTATAACAAACTGCTCAACATGTGGAGGTGGTCAACATAAGGAACTTCCATTAAGTACAGGTGGTGCTTGTCCAATCTATGAAAATTAGGGAAACATAGGGAAGTGGTCAACTATGGAAGTTCTACTATACTTTCAACGTCATTAGTCAGCAGTGGCCTGTAAGGCTTTCCAGGGTCTGGCCCCTATCTAACTTTCTGTACTAATCTCCTATTTATGTCCTAGGACACAGTTCTTACTTGTGTCCCTTTAACTTGCCAAGCTTTCTACTGTCTCTAACTAGGCTTTCACACTTTCAGTTACTTGGAATGTTCTTCACCAGGTCTTCATGTAGCTGTCTCCTTTTATTATTTACACTACACCCAAATGGCCTGCTACCAGAGGCCTTCTTAGGTAAGTATCTCTCCTATCCTCAGCTCACATTCTCTCTACTCCCACATCACCTAATTTTTCTTGTTCAGAGGAATTTCTTTTCTATTTGTTTATTTGTTTACTTATTATTTTACTTAAGCATATGCTTCCTGTCTCTGCCCACTAGGATAGGGAGTCACTGAAAGGTGATCTAATCCCTGTGCAGAGAACAGTCTTTGGGCCATAGAAGGTATTCAATATCTACCTGGTAACTACAAGTTTTACATATAATTGTGATGCACAGCCAGGTTTGACTATTTTAAACTACCTAATTTTAAACAGAATTACTGATTAGCAAAATGCTTACGCTTAGCACTTTAATTGTCACACTTTCATGGAAAGGTATAATTTAGTAGAAAAAGCAGATATTCACCTTAACTCATTTAATTGCCATTTTTTTTTTGCATAAAATAAATCATTTCTACATTGGGCCAAGTTCTTCTGACCTTGAGGGTATAGCTGAGGCAGCAGTGATTATTTGGAGTTTCAGAACTCCAAAGGTGGTTGGGCCTGTTTTTTCCTAGCTGGAGTCTGAGAATCAGGGATGTCAGGGGAGCGGGGCATGAGCAAAGGGATTTCTGGCTTGATTTTTAGTCAGATGTGAAGTTGGTCCATGAGTGGAGAGAAAGGGCTGCTAAAGGGAGGGGAGCCTGGAGACAGACGAACAAGTATTTCAAGGAATGTGCCAGGGGAAAGCCTGGGGCCTGAGGCAAATGCCCAGGAGTAGAGAACAGGGAAGACTGGAGATAAGGCAGCTGATCCTGCAGGACAGGTCTGGGAAGAGTCCTGGAATCCCTGGCAAGGGATGGGTTGGGAGAGAGGAGTGATTCTTTTATAGAAGGGACCTATGACATGCAGTGCTGTTGTGAATAGGCAATTTTTTTCTAAGCCAAGTAAGCAGTCTCTGAAACAGCAGGCTTCAAAACCCAAACTTAAAAGAAACATAAAAAATACCACACCTAGGCAAGAAAAAGTAACAGAAAATAAGCTGGTGGCTTCCAGATTGCCCAGTGGGCTTTATGACACAAACTTAAAATACGCCAATGATTTCTCTACCAGATAGTAGAACCCAAACACAAATTAGAATTTAGGCTCAAGGGATGAAGTATAGTGGTGGGTGGGGAGAGTTAATACCCTTCTCTTTTCCATGAACAGCTGACAAGTGGCCGAAACCAAGGTACCCAGTAGAGAAACAACTGGCATGAGAAGAAGAAAATTGTGTGTGTGTGTGTGTGTGTGTGTGTAAATATTGTTTTCACTCTTGGCCCTGGAATTGTTTTTGCTAAAGAAAGGCCTCCTATAGCAGATTTCTTGGATGAGCTTGGGCGTGGTATGGAATGAGCCTATGAAGTGGTGTCCACACAGAGAGCTACAGACCTCTGCAGAATAAATGAAGGCAGAACTTGGCTGTGCTCTGGGCAGTAAATAGAAAGGGCTGGCCCGAGGTCAATGGCAGGGGACAGGGGATTAAGGAGAAAGGCTATAAGAAATGCCCTACATCCAAATGAGTGAGGACACAGCAATCAAAAGACCAAGTGGAAGGCCCTTAGCCTTCAGAATTCTTCCAGGCCTCGTCATACCATTCGTAGAGTTGGATTTTGAGAAAATCAAGTAAGGGGGGGATTCTGTTTCAGAGGAGGTTGGTGCTGAGAGGGATTCAAAGTTGAATATGAGCAGGAACTCATTCCCAGAAATAGCCACAAAGGAATAATCCTGGGGGGGGGCACTGAGCTTTCCTCAGATAGGGGGCGGGGGTGACATGCTGGGACACATGAACTGCAGAATGGTGAGGGTCACACATCTGGAAAGGAGAGCTTTATTTCTCATGAAGGGCTGCAGCCTGTAGGGTAGCCATTCTGCCAGGTTACAAGCACAGCCTCCAGCAGAAGCTCAGAACATGTACTTCTGGGGTGGGGGGAGACAGGAATTTCCATTGAGCAGGGGGACCGAATATATACATTTAACAAGCTATAGGAGAAGTCATGAATACTTATGAAAGGGGAAACACACGCATGAAAAACTGAATTTTATGTCCCTTACAACGATCTGAGGATCGGAGGGTTTTGGCCCTCTGACACTAAAAGGTCAAGCACAGGACATGAAAACCCTCTTTGAAAAGCCCTAGGAATGGCAGATCCTCCCCTTTTCTACCCTTATAAGGCAATTTCCAGGGGTTGCCATGGTATTTGTAAACTGTCATGGTGCTGAGGGGTGTGATTATTACTAAGTTAATAAGAGTAGGTCACTTAAGGATACTGTCACCTTACTTGTATACATGCTCTAAAGAGCATACAAAAGTATGAGAACTCTTTGGGAGATGGGGGGCTCCTGGCCCTGTGGCTAGCGGAGCTGCCTCGAGGGTTCTGCTAGCTGATCCCCCTTTTGCCTTGTGTTTGCTGTCACTTGGTTACTTCTTACTGCCAGTCATACTCAGGTAGAGTAGCTGAATGTTTTCATTCATGGTTCTTGAATCAATCATTATATCCAGATAAATAGGAAAAAACGATTTAAGAAAAAGCAGAAGCTTTGATGTAGATGGATAGAAGATGTACCACTGTAAAAACAATTATTTATTCCTCATTTCTTTCCTATAAGGTTAGCTACTATTATTACCCTAATTTTTTTAGCTGAGGAAACAAGCAACTTTGAAGATTCTGAAACTAGAAAGCAGTGGAACAGGGATTCAAACCCAACTGTGAAAAGGTGGCTCCAAAGTCTGTAACGGTAATTATTTTGTTTTACTATCACCAAGGAAACTGTAGACAAAGGACATGCTCACTGTAGACAGGGTGGCAGATCAGAGGGAGGACTCCCACGGCTCACTTCCTCACACGATTAACGTTTCCAGGATGCTATAGACTCTATGGCAGAACTACATTTTTAGATGGTATGTGACCCCTTCTTTGCTGAGTCTTTCAGCACATGAAACTTCAATTAAAAACTAATAACTAGTGGAGGGAGGGTAATCGGTGGGAACACACCTATGGTGCATCTTACAAGGGTACATGTGAAATTTACTAAGTGTAGAGTATAAATGTCTTAACATAATAACTAAGAAAATGCCACGAAGTCTATGTTAACCAGTTTGATGAAAATATTTCAAATTGTATATAAAACCACCACATTGTACCCCATGACTGCATTAATGTGCACAGCTATGATTTAATTTAAAAAAACACTAATAACTGACATGATCTTTGATGACTGCTCCTGACACTTGAAATGATGTCAAATACCATTAAGTAACAGACCAGTGGTTTTCAAACTATGATTTGGAGGACCGTAGTGTTCTAAAAATCTCATTAAAGGACCTCTTAGCGTAGTCTCAGCTCCACTTTCACATGCTTTACATGTTCAACTCCTATACAAGGTTATTTTTAAAGAAATAATTCTACCACTTAAAATTTATATATATATTTATATATATGTGTGTATGTATATATCACAACCATCTTTATATTCTATTAAATATTCATATTTTGCTTACTCATTCATTTTATTAGCATTAGTAAAACAAGGTGAAATATCGCATAGCTCCTTCCTTCAAAGAACCTGCCATTTTAGGAACTGATCCAATTTGAGGGCTGACTTTTAATTTGCAGTCAATTATTGTCCCATGTACTCTTCTTAAGGCAATATAATCATAGCCACTAGGTCAAGACCCTCACAGTGCTACAAATTTTACCCGGTTACTCATCACAACAGATGGATCTCAGCAGATGACACTAGATCATATTAGTCTGGGAGAAAAGAAGGAAGAATATTTATACTCATTCAAAAGCAGGGCCAATAAAAGGAGTATAACTTATTTTTCTGTAACGACATACTTCTTATTGCGTTTCTTACCTCTAGGGCTTTGAGTCTCTCTAACAGCAATTTGGTCTTTTCTTTGCCTTCATCTGCACTGCTGCTTTCACTTCTTGAATCCTCATCTACCACCATGTGAAGATCTTCCACAGCTTCCTTATGTTTTCTCTCTTCTTCTGACAGTTTTCCCTGGAGGAAAAAAGAATTACTGTTTTGTATAATCTCGAGTGAAAAATAAACAGGAGCGTAAGGCTGAAATGCTTGGATGCCTCTAACTACTTGTGTATTCTTCTGAGGTAGAGATAGAGATTTTGCTAAACAAATTCTGAGTGGTGCTTATATTAGTAAATCCAATAGGTATTTTCACTGAATCCTAGCAGGACAAAGCCATTGGATCACCTTCTTTGAATGCAGATGTCTCTGGTCCAGCTGGAGACGTGACCAAACCAGCAAAGACATAGGTGGAGTCAAGTGGTTAATCCACTTTTATCTGCACAATGGAATGAATTCAGTTGTGCTTTAAACTGAGGAAAAATATAATAATTTTGATACTTTTATTTATAAAAGGCATAGGTCCTCAAAATAGGATCATTAAAGCCACTAGGCATGTGCTCATTTAATTAAGGGAATATGAAGTATCACAAAATACTGAAAATAACAGTGATTCCAGAATTCTAATCTAAAACCAATTAGCTCTCCCAGGTCAATGATGACAGCTCTTATAGACCCCTCTGAATCCCCTCAGGCCTTGTAGCATAGCTCTGAAGCACACGTTAAACAGTATTCTATCTTGCCTCCCTGTTGGAAGCTCCTCACTCAACCTTGTCTCTGACAGCTTTTTGGCCTCATGCTTCATTTTTGTTTTCCATGGAAAAAGAAACACCAAGAAAATATCAGATGAAGAAAATCCTATCCATTTTGTACATTTATCAAGACTCTTGTTCTGCACAACCAGGTGACATCATTCCATCCCTTTAAGTCTAAACGCAACACGGGGGAAACTTTGCTTTAATATAGGTGACTGTCAACCATATGGGCTAAAAATGGATTATCAATGGTGAGAAATTTCATTATAGTTAGTCCTAAGCTAAGATCAATTTGCAAATACAAAAGCACAGAAGATCTAATTCTTAGCCTCAAGTCACTCATACAATCTACTTAGAAAAGAACAGCATAAGAAGGAAAAAAAATGGGGTTTTCAAACTGTTCACCAAGGTGCTTTGAAGGTTTCAAAAATACTCACTTTAAATTATTTTTCCAAAAATAAATTATTAAATGTCTTTTATGTATGTACATATATATATATGTTAAGTCTACATGTGCATAAAACACTGGTAACCACAAAGTCAGTAAACTGATCCATGTTGATCTGCCTCATACAGACTGCAGAATATAATTTCTCCCATCATCTCTGTATATATAAAAGCACACCTGCTCAGTAGTAGTTCTTTATGAAATCAGGCCACAGCATGTCTACCTATGTGCAGTATGCAGGTATGTTCACTTCCATAGCAGGTGTGAGTTCAGCTTAGATAAATGCCCAGCAAATTTAAGGTGCCCATTTGCAGGCCAGGAAACAAATCCAGGTCATAGTAGCATTTTCTTTATAGCTTTGATTTTTGATACTTGGTTTAGTTAAGGTTTGGCTGCTTGTCACACTTTTACTCCATGATAAGAAATATGAAGTTTACAGAGATTGCTATCAACTAAGTTTTGAAACAAAGAGGTCCTTCTATATCTCTGTTATGATTTGGGATCATTATAAATAAACGTTAAACTGAGATTATACAGTAAGATGTTTTAAAAACTACTATCATTTTCATTTTACTTGTCTGTGTGAATTATGATTTTTCATATCTCACTAAGTGTGTTCCATCTGTGTTTTATACACACATCTACATTCATATTCTATGTGTCCTTTGGCTATTTTGTTGTCCTATGAGCAGCAAAGAGCAGGCATCCTCAAACTATGGCCCCGTGGGCCACATGCAGCCCACCTAGGACATTTATTCGGCCCGCCGGGTGTTTTTGCCACTGCTGCCTGTCCTGCTTAGCAGCCAACTTGTCCCAGGGCCATAGTCTGGCCCTCCAGTGGTCTGAAGGACAGTGAATTCGTCCCCTGTTTAAAAAGTTTGAGGACCCCTGGCATAGAGTATACTTATCCAAACCTAGAGGGTATAGCCTATTTTAACCTATGCTATATTGTATAGCCTATTGCTGTTAAGACTACAAACCCATACAGCATTCTATGCAGGGCAAAACTCTGTATGTATGTATGTGTATGTTATATATACAAAGGTCTAACAATTAAGTTTGCAAACTCATCCTAGTAAAAGTGTTACACATCTCATTGCTGAATATCACCATGGTCACTTTCAAAGTACTCCCATTGGAGTATGGATGCCAGTGCTAGTCTACCCTTCAAAGCAGTTTTGGGACTCCTTTACTAGAATGGCTAAAACTGTCATCACATTACCCTTAAAGTCCTCAATGTCATCAAAACGTTTTTCTTTCAGTATTTCCTTTATCTTCAAGTAAATAAAAGTCACTAGAGGCCAGATCAGGTTAGTAAGGAGAATGTTCCAATATAGTTATTTGTTTAATGGCTGCAAATCCCCTTACATTTACACTTTGCAAACGTAAACTGGTCCATTGTTATGATGTAAGAGCCATGAGTTGTTGGCCAGAACAAGATTTTCAGTTAGGATTTTCCTTAAATTTCTTTATAGATGTTTACTTGGTCTGGTAGGCTTCTCCCAGTTAGCCGATGATACTGACACACAATTCAATGAATTTTTGCAATGTTTTCATCAGTTCTGCTTGTTACTAGCTGCCTTGACCTCTCTTCATCAATAATGCTTTCTCTCCCCTCTGAAAAACTTTTAACCCATTTGTACAATGCTGTTTTCTTCATGGCATTATCTCCATAAACCTGGACTAACATTCCCTGATTTCACTTCCACTCTTGCCAAGTTTAACAAGAAATTTATGAATATTTGTTCATTGCTCTAATTTAAGCTTGGAAATTCTGGTGATGGAACACTAAAACACACAAGAACAATGAACACAACTCAGTAAGACACAGCCACACATTGACATGAACACAGCTATTCCATACACTAAGGTTATGAAACCTTACTGAGTTGTTTGTACAGTGCTGCCAAAGCAAGCACATGGGGGCAAATTCATGAACTTAACTGGAAAATCTCATATACGTCGATATATTGAGGCACCCAGTAATAATTAGAACTCTGTGGCTAATGAAAGAAACAAAGAAAAGCCACTGGTATGATAAATAGAAAGGTAAAGCACTTTGGAATCTGATAGCCAGAGTACACATCTATCATTTATTTAGTAGCTGATCTTGGCAAACTGCTCGATTTTGATAAGTCTTGGTTTATTTATCTCCTAAATTCCTAAATGAGGCCAAGGACAATATGTATACACATATAATTACATACTATGTAGTAAGTTCTTATAATTCACAGTAGCTATGTTCTATAAAGATTTCATGAACAAGGACTGAATTAGCAAACATGAAATTATTGCTCTTAGGGGAAATACAGGTTAGGGTCCTATGAGCACAACATTTTCCATCAACCAATCAATATGTAATCTGTTTTATGTGTGTTTCTTATTTAATATACAATGTTGATTCATTAAAATTGAACAAATAGCCAATACGATATCCCATACCTGAATGAAGTTTATCTAACACATATATTTTTCCCATAAGGCGCATCACAAACTTTTTGCACATAGAAACACTATGCAGCAGTCCAATACCATGCCTGGGGCCATTTTAAACAGTGAAATCACCTCCAAAAAGTGTAAAATGTAAAAACATCGCACTAAATAGACCACGAAAAGGAGACTTGTATACTGCATGACACCTAAAACAAAAAGGCAGAGTGTTGCTTTGCTTGTTCTCAGCTGGGAACAGGAGCCTCAGGTGGTAAAGTTTCCACTTCTCTGTGCATGTCCATGAATGACCATCAAAGTGCCACAGTGTTGATTTTGGGGTTACAAATAAATTTTTTTGAGTGGGCAATGTACAAATATAGAATCCAGAAATAATACAAATCCAGTACCATAAACACATATACTTAAAGTGCCTAATAATGGTACCCACAGTGACTAAATATTATGATGTGAAACAACTAAATATAACCGGAGATAACACTAATTATCTATGTGTATTCAGATTTCATAAAACGCAAGTGTCATTTTACACAATTTAAAGAAGGGGCACTCAACGAGGGCTATGACTTCCTGAAATGTGACTTGTATGTAGGGATACAACTAAAACAGAGTGAAAGTTTAGTCAAAAAGAAAATTGAAAAATGTTTCTAGTCAGGAATGAGTTTTGTCCAAAGTGGTTTATAAGGAAAAAAGTTTGACTGTAATAGAGAAAAAACTTAAAAGAGTAGCTCGCTGAGTAATAGGATTGGAGAAAAAAGGAAGGAAAAGATTCTTGGAAATGAGCCATTTGTTGCTTGTTCATCCAACAAACGTTTACTGAGCACTGACTTGGCCACTTGCTGCCTAGGTACTAGAGATATGGCAAAGAAGACCAGGGTCCCACAGTGCATGAGATTATATTCCAATGCTGGGAAACTGACAAACTCCAAACCCAATCTGGAAGTAACATGTATAAATGGAGCTCATAGTAAATGCAATGAAGACAATGAAACAATATAATGTGATGGACAGAGGTATGGTTAGGAACAATATTAGATGGTGACATCAAAGTAAGGCTGTCTGAAGGGGTGGACATAGCAGAGGGGAATGTGCAGTGGTGTGAGGGAAAGCATTCCCAACGCAAGGCCTAGCAAAGCAATGCCCAGTGGCGGGGCCGGGTGTGCCTTGCTGGACAGCTGAGGGACAGGCTGTGTGGTAGAGCACAGTAACTATAGGAGGAGGACTACCAGGAAATGAGATCAGAGAGACAGCTGGAGCACAGAGGGTCTCGCCAGAGTTTTACTCTTGGTCCAGTAAAAAGGAACTGAAGGCTGAGCAGGAGGTGAAGTGTTCCGATTTATTCTTCAGAAGCATCATCGTCCTGACTACTGTAATGGAGAATGAGCTATGGAGGGAAAGAGCCAGGAGAAATAAAATTCACGAATATTTTGAAGGTTTGAATCAGGCCCTACTAAAAACGGTTCTTACCACAGATCAGAATCTACCAC